CAGGGCACACGGAGGGGAGCAGGGCACAGGGAGAGGGAGCAGGGCACAGGGAGGGGAGCAGGGCACAGGGAGAGAGGTTCAGGGCACACAGACAATGGATCAGGGCACAGAGAGAGGCTCAGGACACAGAGAGGACTCAGGGAAAACAGGGAATCAGGGCACAGGGAGGGGAGCAGGGTGCAGGGAGAGAGAGCAGGGCACACGGAGGGGAGCAGGGCACAGGGAGAGGGAGCAGGGCACACAGAGAGGGAGCAGAGCAAAGAGAGGGAGCAGGGCACAGGGAGAGGGAGCAGGGCACACAGAGAGGGAGCAGAGCAAAGAGAGGGAGCAGGGCACAGGGAGAGGGAGCAGGGCACACAGAGAGGGAGCAGAGCAAAGAGAGGGAGCAGGGCACAGGGAGAGGGAGCAGGGCACACAGAGAGGGAGCAGAGCAAAGAGAGGGAGCAGGGCACAGGGAGAGGGAGCAGGGCACACAGAGAGGGAGCAGAGCAAAGAGAGGGAGCAGGGCACAGGGAGAGGGAGCAGGGCACACAGAGAGGGAGCAGAGCAAAGAGAGGGAGCAGGGCACAGGGAGAGGGAGCAGGGCACACAGAGAGGGAGCAGAGCAAAGAGAGGGAGCAGGGCACAGGGAGAGGGAGCAGGGCACACAGAGAGGGAGCAGAGCAAAGAGAGGGAGCAGGGCACAGGGAGAGGGAGCAGGGCACAGGGAGGGGAGCAGGGCACGCAGAGAGGTTCAGGGCACACAGAGAGAGGTTCAGGGCACACACAGAGGAGTTCAGAACATGCAGACAATGGATCAGGACACAGAGAGAACTCAGGGCACACAGGGAATCAGGGCACAGGGAAGGGCTCAGGGCACACAGAGAGAGGTTCAGGACACAGAGAGAGGTTCAGGACACAGAGAGAGGGCTCAGGACACACAGACAATGATCAGGAGACACAGAGAGGGCTCATGGCACACAGACAGGGCTCAGGGCACACAGAGAAGGGTTCAAGACACACAGAGGGGCTCAGGACACACAGAGGGGATCAGAAGACATAAACGGGTTCAGTGCATACAGAGAGAGGCTTAAGACCCACACAGAGGGGCTCAGGACACACAGAGCTCAGGGCACACAGAGAAGGGTTCAGGTCACACACAGACAGGGACTTCGGACTATTTTGCAGAGAGACTTGGAGATTAAGAGGAGTCAGAGCTGAAGATTAGAGCATCACATCCTGCATGCTCTGCTGCCTGTCCCTGATGGCTGAGGGGAAGGAACAGGATTCTCCAGTCTCCTGAGCCCCTTCTCACAGCAGCAGGGTCTGCTCTCTGCTCTTAACAGGGCAGTGATCCAGAGAATTCACCCCCTGTCACAGCAACTTAGCAAAGACAAGCTCTCCTCCTCCTCCTCTCTCCACTCCTCCTTCCCATCCCAACCTTCCTGGCGCAGGGAGGTGGCACAGAAACCCCAGTGGAACGTACTGTAGAGCCTGGGAGCTGTGGGGACAACTGCTGCCAGCTCACAGTGGCCACACAGAGCTTCCCAGCCCTGTTTCTTCCCTCCCTCACAACGAGGATTTCAGCTCCAATTGGTGCTGAACCAGTGGAGGCCTGAGAACATTTCCCCTTGTGCCCATTCTGCCACAAAGGGGCAATTTCTGGTGGCTTTTTTGGCCACAGCCTTGTTCCTTCTCAGCTCCCCTTGCCCTCAGACACATCACAAGGCCCCAGGAGTGTGAACAGGAGGTTGGGCAGAGGGCAGAGACCAAGCTTGGGGCCCTACACACCGACACAGTAGCGCCCATTGGGTGCCAGCACAAATCCAGGCTTGCAGATGCATTTGAAGCTTCCATCCTCGTTGATGCACATCCCATTGAGGCACATGTTGGTTGTGGCACACTCATCATGATCTGGGGAGGACAAAGAGAACACATGAGCTGAGCCTGAGAGCTGCAGAAAGACTCAAAACCTCTCTGACTCCCATCTCATGGTCAAATTGCTTATGGTAGTGGGTGCTAAGCCTCAAGGCAGAGAGGTATAGAATGGTTTGGGTTGGAAGAGGCCTTGAAGAACATCTACTCCAACTCTTGCTATGGGCAGGGACACCTTCCACTGTTTCTCCTGGTGAGACTAGTCTTGCTGCTCCCTGCCATTCTAGGTACCCTGGTCAGGACTCAGGTCTACTGATGCTTCTGGTCCCCAAAACCTCCAGGAGCACCCCAGAACTGGTGGCTGGAGCATGTCCTTCTTCCAGTCCCAACTCTACTGATGCTTCTGGACCCCAAAACCTCCAGGAGCATCCCAGAACTCAGACACTGGTGGCTGGAGCATGTCATTCTTCCAGTCCCAACTCTACTGATGCTTCTGGACCCCAAAACCTCCAGGAGCACCCCAGGAGGACAAACACCCTTCTAAAAACACCTTCCCATTTCACTCCTCTCATCTGAAGATGTCTTAGAGCTGAAGGGAGCACAGCAGTAATTAAAGTAACCATCAAGCCCCAGGGAGCTGCTGGAACAGGTTGCCCAGAGCAGCTGTGGCTGCTCCATCCCTGGGAGTGTTCCAGGCCAGGTTGGACAGGGCTTGGAGCAACCTGGGCTGGTGGAAGTTGTCCCTGCCTATGGGAGAGAGTAGAATATCATCTCAACTGAGTCCCAACCTCCCCAAGGCCCCTGAGGAAGCTCACCAACACAGTTCTTGCCATCAGGAGTGATTTCAAAGCCAGCATTGCAGATGCACTGGAAGCTGCCGTCGGTGTTGACGCAGCGCCCGTTCCTGCACATCACCCCGTTCATGATGCACTCATCAATGTCTGCCAGGGAAGGGAACACAGCAAAGTAGGAGCAGGTGGAGTGAGGAGCAGTTCCAGCTTAATATTCTCCAGGAGAAAACCAGGCAAGTGCTCTCAGACATAAGAATTCATCCTAAAAACATCTAGTTGGGGATTAGGAAAGATGTCACATTGGGAGGTGACTGGGAGGTCCTTTGGAAACCACTTTGTCAGACAGAGAGAGGAAAAATATTCCAAGCTTGGGCACTGAGAAGGAAATCTGCCTTTGCTTCTTGTTCACATGGTGGAACATTTCCTTCTCTTCATTCTGCTTTAGCTGTTCCTCATCAGGAGCTGCAAAGCACTTGCTAGAAATCCTATGTTGATACAAACACGCCTCAAAATCTGTTTTATCATAGAAAGTTCTTCTCTTCCAACAGTTCTGCTCTTGGAAAGGACTTTGCAGGTTCCTTGATGGCCACTAGCCAATTTTAAGGCAGATAAAGGTAGAGGAAATTTCTCCTAGAGATCTGGCTGGAGGTTACTTGGTGTTTTGGGCCTCCTCACTCTGTTTCCTCTCTACAACCACTTCCCTTTGCTACCCAAGGCTCTGCCACTGCTGCAGGACACCATGTCTACCCAAAAGGAGAAGAAGCCAAGCCTTACCAATGCATGCCTGCTTGGTGGGGGTGCTCTGGAAGCCCTCGTGGCACTTGCAGTGGTAGGAGCCAGGTGTGTTCACGCAGTCTCCGTGCACGCAGGGGCTGCTGGAGCACTCATCCACGTCTGCAAGGAGAAGAACCTACACCTGTGAGTCACCAGGACACACAACAAGTGACCAGGACAGGCACAATAACTGGTGAGGTGCTCAACCCTTTGTTTCACTCCAGCATGACCAGTAAGGTCTCTCAGATGGCATCACCTCAAGTGATTCAACGTGGTGTCACCTCCAAACTCACTGAGGGAGGAGGTGCTGAGCCCCTTGTTCTACTCCAGTGCTGCCAGCACAGCCAGCAAGGTCTTCTGGATAGCATAAGGTCCTTCTGGGTGGCATCATGTCCAGTGAGCTGCATCACTTGGCTTGGGGTCACCTCCAACGGGAACACCCAACACCATTGTCAAAGGGGACAACCAACACCACTATCAATGGGGACACCCAACACCACTATCAGTGTCATTGATGAAGATAGTAAAGACTATTGACCCCAGTATGGACCATTAGGGACACCACCACTCATTGCTGGTTACCAGTTGGATGTTGAGCCATTGACTGTGACAATCTGGTGTAGCTACCAGAGAAGAATTAGCACTCTGGGTGTTCCTGTGTGATCCCTCCATCCTGCTGCTTCCTTCCCTCACCCAAACCCTCTATTCTCCATCTCCAGCCTCTTGTGGCGAGCTCTGATGGGTTGGAGGTGGTTTAGGAGCAGGGACAAGGCACAGCTGGAGCAGAAGCTACTCACCAATGCACTCCCCACGCACGTCCTGCTTGTAGCCCATGTTGCACTCGCAGCGGTAGCTGGACGGGGTGGGGATGCAGCGACCGTTGAGGCACAGGTTGGTGAAGTGCTTGCAGATGTCAATGGTCTGGTTCAAGGTGGCAGTTCCTGGAAGGCACAGGGACAGCATCAGGGAGAGGGTTATGGTGATCTTGGTCATGCCAAGGCATCAGAGTGGATATGTCAGTGCTGGGACAGATCATGGATGCTCCTAGAGCCTGAACAGCCCCAGGGAGCTGCAGTATCTGCCATGTCTTCACCCTATGGACAGGCAGGAGGTGGCTCAGCCCCTCTGGAATAAGGTGGGAATGAAGGAGAGCAATGAAGATGATGATGGGTCTTGAGGGGCCATGTGAGGAGTGGCTGAGGGTACTTGGGCTGTTCAGTCTGGAGAGGAGGAGACTGAGGAGAGACCTAAGATGCTGTAAGCAACTTCCTCATGGAAGGAAGTGGAGGGGCAGGTATCGATCTCATCTCTCTGGCAACTAGTGACAGGACCCAGGGAATGGTCTGAAGTTGTGTCAGGGGAGGGTTAGGCTAGATCTGAGGAGTAGGTTCTTCCCCCAGAGGTGTTTGGGCACTGAACAGCTCCCCAGGGCAGTGGTCACAGCCCCAAGGCTGACAGAGCTCCAGGAGTGTTTGCCCAATGCTCTCAGGGAGCATTGTTGGGGTGTCTGTGCAGGGAGAGGAGTTGGATTTGCTCCTTGTGGGTCCCTTCCCACTCTATTGATCCAATATTTATCACCATCCAGTGCATTGCCCCAGGCTCCAGCCCTCAGCAAGGAGCCACATGAGGGTGCACAAGAGGTATCCAAGTTGGTGGGGACACCAGTTTTGGTTTGGGGAGGCAGAGAATGAGGCAGTGACGTGAGAGCTTCATTCCTATTTGGTAATTAGAAAGCTATTCCAAGCTGGAGCCAAACTCAGCTCCTTCCCTTTGCCAGGAGACACTGTTTGATGTGCTTGAGGGCAGATCCTTCGCAGTGTGTGTCACATCCCACCTCTCCCCCCTGGCACAGGACACTGTGTGTAGCTGTCTGAGCACACAGACACTGCTCACGTGTGCACAGCAACATTCCAAAAGGCAGGAACAGGCTCTGCCCCCACACAAGGAGCCAAACTGGGCCAAGACAAGAAGAAAGTTGGGTTCCTTACCAATGCTTGAACTTCCTGGGCCCATTCCAGGCAGGCCTGGGATCCCTCCTTGTCCGTTTGCCCCATTTGGGCCGATGCCTCCAGGCCCGTTGAGTCCTGGCCCAACACCATTGGGCCCAAATCCAGGGATTCCTGGAAAGTTCCCAGGGAAGCCTGGCATGACTGGGAGTCCTTCGATGCAGAGCCTGCGGTACTCATCTGAAACAAAACAGCTGCCTCAGAGCTCTTCCAAGGGCTCAATCCCTCTCCTGCCTGAGGGCAGGGAATGGAGGGATGGATCAGCACGGAGCAGACAGTGGGGGCTGGTGGGAATGGGGCAGATGGGTGAGGAGAGCTCTAACACTCCATAACAGGTGGAGACACAGCTTGTCAGGGGGGTTTGTGGTGGATTTTTGGGCTCCCTTCCTGCAGAGAAGTGGAGGGAGCAGGGAGATGGAGAGGGATTAGCATGGAGCAGGCAGTGGGGGCTGGTGGGAATGGGGCAGATGGATGAGGAGAGCTCTAACACTCCACAGATGATCAGACACAGTTTGTCAGGAGATCTGGCAGTTGTTTTTTGGGATGCATGGAGCTCCCTTCCTGCAGGGAAGGATGGGACACACACAAGAGCTGTGAAGCTCTGCCCTGCTCAGAGCTGGTGAGGAAAGAAGAGGTGCAAAGAGATCTATCTACATCTCTGTGCCTCCTCCAGCCCTCCTGGGCTCATCCTCTCTTGGCTCCAAGGTTCAGTTATGGTGGGAGCCAAAGAGAGCTGAAGGAGTAGGAGGGAAGGGGATAAATTCTTGCCTTGGCTCCACTTGTTGGGCTCAGCATCAGCTGAGACCCAGGCAGGACCACCAGAGCATCCCCATGTGACCTTCCCTGGCTGTTAGGTTGATGAAGGTTGGGGTTTTGTCCTAGGTGATAAGTGATAGGACAAGAGGAAATGGCCTCAGGTTGTGCCAGGGGACATTTAGGTTGGATACTGGGAAAATTTCCCCATGGAAGAGGCTGCCCAGGGTGGAGTCACTATCCATGGAGGGATTTAAAAGCCATGTGGATATGGTACGTGGGGACAGGGTTAGTGGTGGCCTTGGTAGTACTGGAGGAATGGTTGGACTCAATGATCTTGGAGGTCTTTTCCAACCTTAATGACTCCATGATTTCCTGATTCTACACTACTCCACATCAAGCCTTGAGGTCCCTCTAGTGCCACCACAGGCAAGAGCTGACCAAACAGAGGTGGAAACCTTGGGGTGGTACCTACCTGAGCCACGGACAGGACACATCTCAGGGGTCTGGCCAATGGCCCAGCAGCGCCCAGAGTCACAGCAGCACTGCATCTTGGTGTACTGGCCAGGGAGGTCCCCAGCACAGCGTCCCCCGATCAGCGCCGAGAAGCACGTCCCGATGCGCTGGTCTGCAGGGACACACGGGAGGAGACACATCACAACGTGCCATGCCCATCTTCTGCCTTGGTCCTGAGTGCCCAGTCCCTATGGTATCCCAACCTGGAACCTTCCACTCCTCCATGCCCTGTCCTTGTCCCTCAGGTGGATTAATGAGGGGGAAAGTCTCTGATTTCTGTGGTTTCCCTGGGCTGCCATGGAGTGGAAACAGATTGTCTGGAGCTGTTTGATCTGTGAGCTCCCAGCTCAGTGACTCCCACAGGACACTGACCCCACTTCCAAGCAGGGTGACCAAACCAGCAGGTCCTTCCGCAGGCACATCCCTCCCACCCTTCTCCAGCAGAGTTCAGCATCAACTCTTCCCTCTTGGAAACTTTAGCCACCAAAGACACTTGTAGAGATGCTCAGAGAGGGGAAATTTGAGAGAGGGGATTGAATGTAATGCTGGATTAGCTCCTGATCCTAAGGAAGGGAAGGACAAGCCCCATGGGTGTTGGGGTCAGCCCAAACCTTTGATCTCTGGCAAGTAACAAGAGCAATGTCCATAGCCCTGCAGGTTTCAGCAGGTGCTGGAGTGGAGGAGGGATGTGTCTCCACACAGAGACAAGTTGAAACTTGTGATTCAGGATGTAATTTATCAGGAAAGGACAGGGGGAATGGCTTAAAGCTGAAGGATGCAGGGCTAGATGGGATGTTGGGAAGGAATTCCTCCCTGTGAGGTGCTGAGGCACTGGAATGGATTTCCCAGAGCAGCTGTGGCTGCTCCATCCCTGGGAGTGTTCCAGGCCAGGTTGGTACAGGGCTTGGAGCAACCTGGGCTAGTGGAAGGTGTCCCTGAGGATAGAACAAGATGATCTTTAAGGTACTTCCAACCCAAACCATTCCATGATCAGAGGATTCTATGTAACCTACTCTGACTCCCAAAAGCAGCTGCTCTCTGACCAAGCCAGGGCAGGATATTAGGACCACTTGGAAAAGCTACACCTCCAACCCTTGATGGGAGTTTAGCCAAGTGAGAGCTTAAGGCTGAGCTTAAATGAACTTCTAGATCTGAGGGTGGTAGCTTGGAATAAACCCTCTGGGCTTAGAGACAACAAATCCCACCCTCTCCTTCTGCTCCTGGTGCTGTCCCCACTGCTGTGAGCCACAGTGACAGGCAGAGACCAGGCAAGGAGTGACTTGGAGAGCTCAGGCTCCTTCCCCATGGACATCCAAGTGCTGACAGGTTTGACAGGGCAGGGAGGTCCCAGCAGTTTGTGTAACACGGGGAATGCTCCAACCCTTGTCCATCTGCACCAGTGGTTATTAACTTCAGCTGTTTTGCTGCAGTTTGCTGTAATTACTCCCAGAAATGAAGGTCAGAACTAATGGAAAAGTCATCTGGAGATGCCTTGGGCACAGACAGGGGTGGGAGGAGAGAACTGTGTCCTTGCAGTCCCTCTGTGACCTCCTGCAGGACCACACACAGGCTGGAGGTAGGAGCACAGCACCATCAGGGGCTTGTCCTGCCTCCTGCAGCTGCTCAGGGTTTGCATCAACCCTCAGTAAACCACAACATGCTGCAGTTAAGGTAGGAGCTGAAACTCCACAGGAGATTAGAGAGGGCACAGGGGTGGGGAAACAACCCCAGAGGTCTCTGGTTCAGAGAGGATGAGGATGGTTTGCAGGTCCAGCCAGGTGGAGCAGGAGGTGGAGTTTGTCCTGTTTATCATGATGGGACAGGAGGGATTTCAAGCTGGACCTTCCTGGGGAGTCTGCCAGGGTCTGGAATCTGCCAGGGTCTGTCTCCTGATGCCCAGGAGAAGCAGGAGAGAAGGCTCTCCAGCATGGCTCATCCCTATCTTCCCTTTCCATGGGGACATCCTCTTTGTGGTGTCTCAGATCTCCTTCAAGGGATTTTTGCCATTTTAATCCTAATGAAAACCTAGTTGGATTCTTTGGTGATGGAGTAGGAGCAGGGAGAGATGGAGGGATAGAAAGTTCTGGTACCAGGAGAAGACTTTAAGGGTATTTCCCTCATGTGGCTTGTCATGAGCTCAAACCCAACCAAACCAGTGGATACAAAAGGGCTACCAGCTCAGAAGCAAAGTGGCCAAAGGTGTCACCTAGGATGTCCATTGGTGCTGGGTCTGCAAGGCAGAAGGGCCCAAAAGGAGCCTGATATGTGGTGAGGACAGTGTGGATCCATGTTGCCATCCCAATGTTTTGGAAAACTGACCAATTCCATCCTTGCCTGGGTTAATTTAGATCCTGGTGTGTGTCTCAGTGAATTCATGCTACAATGAAGGCACAAAACATCCCTCTGGACACAGCTCCCACCAATTGCCATAGCCTGAGCTCCTGGAAGGTGTCCCTGCCCATGGCAAGGGGTGGAATGAGATGAGCTTTAAGCTCCTTCCAAGCCAAACCATTCCAGCATCCTATAACCCTCATATTTCCCTTTTCCTCTTGCCCTTTCCTCTCCTGGATAATAATCAAAGTGGACAAAAAGGCTTCTCCAGGCAGGTGAAGCCCTTGGTGACACCCTCACAACCTTCTCTGAGCCCAGGACTGAACACCAAGAACATCTGGCCCTGCCCAGAACTTGAGGCAATAAATCTACTGACTCTGCCCAAAACTTGGGGCAATAAATCTGCTGCTGTTGCCCAAGGGAAGACTCAAATCTCTCTGTGCTTTGCTGCACTATGAAGGCAAAAGAGCTAAAAATCAATGTTCAGGAGTGTTGACTTGCAAGGAACACCATGTCCATGCCTGGAAATACATCTGCAAGGCCATTTTTCCTCATTTGAAAGTTATTCCCTTAAGCTGTTCTTGAAGACCAACTCATTGGACCTAAAAAAAAAAACCCCATTCCAAACCCTCCCAGGCTGCTGGAGCAGATCCTTCTGCTGCCTGCAAACCTCTGAGCTTGGCTCTTCTGAGCAGAAATGAATGAAACTGTTATGTTCATGTGTGGAACTGAATTGTGTCTAGCACAGGTGGTTGAATCATTCCATAAATGTTCATTTCAAGTCATGACAGATTTTCTCCAGTGACTTTTGCTGTTGGGGTTTTACTGGGGTAGGGAGGGAAAGCAGCTAATGAGGTTTGGGCTCAGCTCAAGCTTTGGGTTTTGCTGTTTCAGCTGTAAAAACTCTAGGAGATTATTCAAAATGCAATAAAAAAGGTGTTTACTAAAAAGGGAGGGGAAAGGGATGGGAATATATCAAAGCTGCCACCAGTGCCAGTGCTGGGGCCTAATATATACACAGACACTGTGGTCACCTCCAGCCTAAACATCTCAGTGACTTTCTCTACTCCTCCCTCCTGATGCTATTTGTGCTTAAAAGTGGCCAAATGATTAATGAACTTCAATTTCCCCATTTTCTGAGGGGAAAGGGATGAGGATGTATCAAATCTGCCACCAATGCCAGAGCCTTATCATATATATATATATAGACACTGTGGTCACCTCCAGTCTAAACATCTCAGTGACTTACTCTCTTCCTCCCTCCTGATGCTATTTGTGCTTTAAAAGTGGCCAAATGATTAATTAACTTCAATTTTCCCCATTTTTTTGAGGGGAAAGGGATGAGGATGTATCAAATGTGCCACTAGTGCCTCATACACACATATGTATGTAGATATAGACACTGTGGTCACCTCCAGCCTAACCATCTCAGTGACAATCTCTCCCCTCTCTCCTCATTCTCTTTGTGCTGTAAAATTAACCAAATGATTAATGACCTTGCAATTTCACCAATTCTCTTTGCTTTCTTTCCTAGGCCATCAATCCTGTCCCTACCACTCACTCTCAAAATAAGCCCTAAAACCCTCTCAAATGAAAGGTTTGCAAAGTGTGGATTCCAAGGCAACAACACCCAACTAAGAACTGTGAATTTAACCCAAATAAACCCTGTCTGTCCCAAAATGGGAAGCCCAGCAGCACTGGGAGCTCGGGAATGGCTGGAGCCTGATGGAGTGGGTTCAGATGGAGTCAGACTCCACTGCAGCTAAATAAGCTTGGGCCTATTTTTAAATCTGGGCTAATTTTATTTAGTTTTCGTGTTCTTGAAGGCTTTGATTTCAAGGAAAGTGGAGAAATAGCCACATGACTCATCTGACAGCTGTCATACCCCTCTGGGCTTATGGCAAGGGCTGAGAAACAGGAGGAAAATAGTTCATTCTTGGTCAAATCTCTCAGATTCCCAAACAAGATGGCTTGGATTTTACTTTTACTTGTACTTACAACAGTTTTGCTTCCTGCAACTAGAACATGATGAATTTTGCTCCAGGTTCTGTGGCTATAAAAGGATTTGGAGCTGATTTTTTCTTTTTTTGTTGCTCTATTCAGAGCCAGGATATTATACCTGATATTTTCCATTGCACTGACAAAGCTCTTTGCCTCCTCTCTGACAATTCCTCTTCCCAAATCTTCTCCTCTTTGCCTCCATGAAGGCAAATGAACCTTCTGAGCAGGGAGAAAAACCCTAGGACTCATTTTGACTAAAGCAAATGCTCCTGCTGAGAGCAAGTAAACAGCAAAGTGATCTGTTTATCAGAGGAACTGTTGCCTGTTACAAAGAGAAATGAACCATCAAATATTTACAAGGCTTGGAAAGGAATTTGGAGCTGTTCAACATGCAAGATTCACTCCAGGCTGGAGGCAGGACAGCTCAGGCTGGGGAAAACTGGGATTCAGGCCAGTTCTGGGAAGAAGCTTTGATGTATGGATACCTTGAGCCAAGCTGGGCCAGGGCTGAGTGGGGATGTTGGAGCTGGTGAGTGGCACAGATCAGTCCCACTGAGCCTTCCTGGGGACCACAAGGTTGGGATTTGCAGCCTGGGAGGTGTTTTGTTGCCAGATATTGGATGCTGGAGGGGAAGGAGGACAACCAGGGAACCTCCAAAGCTCCCAGCACAGCCCTGTGGGTGCAGGGATCAGTGTCTGTGGTGTCTCTGCTGTGCCAGGGAAGCATCTCCTTCCCTCCCCTGGATCCAGAGGGATCCAAACAACCAGCTCAGGGTAAAGCAGCTCAGCCAAAAGGCTGAGCTCAGGGAGAATTGAGCTCCCAGCCCTGTGGGTTATTAGCTTGGGGCAGTTGGGGTTTATGAGCCATTCCCTAGGCAGGAAGGAGGAGGAGGAGGTGATAAAATTCCCTGTTTATTTACATTGATTATCAACCACTTGGAGTGAACCTTTCCCCTTTCACCTCTCCAAGGCAAATGGCTGAATGTGTGGTGTGTTCCCCATCACTGGGTCCACGATCCATCACTCTCTGCTCCAGGAAGGATTCCAAGCCTTCCTTTGGGCTGACACATGCCACAAACACACACTGTGCCCACAGGATCCTCCTGCAAGCTGGGAAGGCCCCAGGTGTGAGCAGGAGAAGGTTCTGTGTGCAGAAGCAGGTTCTTTCCTCACACAGACCACAATCCCAGCCAGAAACTTCCCTCCCCAGTCCTCCTTGTGTCCTCAGCAATCCCTGGTCAAACATATCAAGCACTGATGAAACCACAGGCCAAGTTATGGAGAGGGAGAAAGCCTTGGATTGCAACAACACCCAAATCTGGGACCAGGATGTGTCTCTTCCCAGCTAACACCCAATGCAGGAGGAAAGGGAGAGTGTCTGGGATCTTTCTCTGAACTGAGAGGATCCCACAAGGGAGCAAGAGCAGGTTCTTTCCTCACACAGACCACAATCCCAGCCAGAAACTTCCCACCCCAGTCCTCCTCATGTCCTCAGCAACCCTTTGTCAAACACATCAAGCACTGAGGCAACCACAGACCAAGTTATGGAGAGAGAAAAAGCCTTGGATTGCAACAGCATCAAACCTGGGACCAACATGGCCCAGTCACCCACCACACATGGAGAACAGCCCATGGGGAAGAGCATTTCCAGCCATCCATGCCCCAATGTCCCCTTGGATGTGCAAATGTGGTGATCACCAGATAAGGGTTCACAAACCACCAGGTTTGGGGCTCATAGCAGTGACCTCTCCTTGTGTCCATGGCCCTGAGACCTGTTTAGGCACTCACCAATGCAACGTGAGCCATCAGGGCTGGTCATGAAGCCTCGTGGGCAGGTGCAGACGTAGCTGCCCGCGGTGTTGGTGCAGTCGCCGCCGTCGCACACGCCCGAAATTGCTCCACACTCATCCACATCTGCAAGAGAACAAACCCATGGGGAAGATGTCTCCATGCAAACCATCTCTATCTGCCTCCAGGAGCAGAGTTGGGCTCCCTGGAGCTGCAGTTATGGGTGGGCATGGGATGTTTGATGTCCTACAGAGAACAAGACTCTCTCGGAGGTGGATCCAGAGGGTTTTGAGGAGTCTCAACTTCTCTCTCCTGACAGATAGAGCTTTGGGTGGACCATAAGTCATGTCCTAAGGAGAATAAGACTCTCCTTGAGAAGGATCCAGAGGATTTCATTGAATCCTCATCTTTTCTCTCCTGACAGGGCTTTGGGTGGACCATAAGTGGTGTCCTAAAGGGAACAAGACTCTCCCTGAGGGAGATCCAGAGGGTTTTGAGGAGTCTCTGCTTCTCTCCTGACAGACAGAGCTTTGGGTGGGTTGGGAGCCAGAAGACCTGGCTGTGATGATGGATATGAGAACGGGGAAGAAATGTCTGTAAGAACACAGTGTGGATTACCCAGAGGGTGGTGACTTGTCTCCAGTCCAGTGTGAACCAGAAGAAATGGAGCTGGGAAGCAATTCTAAGTGCAATCTCACAGTGCCATGCGGTGGCTGCAGGAGCTAGTGCAGCCCTGAAGGTGTGGGAGAAGCAGGAGATGTTTGTTTCCTTCAGGTTAGTCTCTACCTGGGCTAGTGGAAGGTTGTCCCTGCCCATCACAGGAGTTGGACCTAAATGATCTTTAAGGTCCTTCCAACTCAAATCATTCCATGATGCTGAGAGCTTGGTGCTCTGCAGGCCCAAGAAGAGAAGATGCAAACAAGCTGAGCCATTAGAAATTCCAGCTGGAATGTCCAGATTTACACTGCACAGATTTACAGTTTCCTGTGGGCAAAGAAATCACCTTCAACTTCTTCTTGCTCACACAACCTGCTACAAACACAATTCGCTTCTGTTTTCCTTTGGCTCAAGTCTGAGCCTTGAGGAATCAAGTGAAACCTCAACTTCAACAGCCACAAAATAAAACCCTCAGGGCAGAGAATGCATAATAGAACCTATAATTATGAGAAGGTTCTTCCCCCAGAGGTGTTTGGGCACTGGGACAGCTTCAGGTTGGAGATCAGGACAAGGTTCTTCCCCCAGAGGTGTTTGGGCACTGAACAGCTCCCCAGGGCAGTGGTCACAGCTCCAAGCCTGACAGAGCTCCAGGAGTGTTTGCCCAATGCTCTCAGGGTACATTGTTGGGGTGTCTGTGCAGGGACAGGAGTTGGATTTGCTCCTTGTAGCTCCCTTCCAGCTCAGGATATTCCATAATTCTACTCTATGACTGCTGAAAACACATTCCAGTTTGGCTTTTCAGGGCTCTCCAGTTCTGCTTTCAGCCACTGTCTGAGCCACCCCCTGAGTCCCTGCAGTGCTCCTTCAGCTCTTTGATGCTCAGAGTTGCTCAGACAGCCAGAAAAGCCTTGAAACCTCCCAAGGCAGCAATGCAAATCGCCAGCAAACACTTCCCCCACCTGGGCCCCTGCAGGGCGAGAGATTTTATCACTGCAGCCTGCCCTGTCATTTAATTCCAGCCCTGCCTTGGGTTACAATCCACAGAGCGCTGGGAGGAAAAAGAGCTTTCTGAACTCAAACTGGTTGTGTTCCTAGTGAAAAAAAAAATACCAGCTTAAAAGTTGTGTGGAGCTAATATGAAAGTTATTGTATCAGAGATCTGGGGCCTAGCTGAGAGATTGATACATCCAAGACAGCATCTGTCATCCAAGAAGCAGCAGCAGGAGCTGAGAGAGCAGCCACTGCATTCCATTTGGAAGGGAAGATGGGAATTAAGAGGTTAAATCCAACGGCATTTTTTAGCCCCTTCTCTCTGAGAACAGAGAGAGCAACCCAAGGAGCAGGAAAAAGGCAGGAAAAAGGCAGTTGCTCAAGGATTACACATAGAATCATAGAATCAACAGGGTTGGAAGAGACCTCAAAGATCATCGAGTCCAACCCTACTATGGTCATTAGACCATGGCACTAAGTGTCACATCCAGACTCATCTTGAAAACCTCCAGGGATGGTGAATCCACCACCTCCCTGGGCAGCACATTCCAATGCCTGAGCACTCTCTCTGTAAAAAATCTCTTCCTACTATCCAACCTAACCCTCCCCTGGCAGAGCTTGAGTCTGTGCCCTCTTGTCCTGCTGCTGGTTGCCTGGGAGAAGAGACCAACCCCCACCTGACTCCAACCTCCTGTCAGGGAGTTGCAGAGGGTGCTAAGGTCTCCCCTGAGCCTCCTCTTCTCCAGGCTGAACACCCCCAGCTCCCTCAGCCTCTGCTCATGGCACTTGTGCTCCAGTCCCTTTCCCAGCCTCGTTGCTCTTCTCTGGACCTGCTCCAGCCCCTCAATGTCCCTCCTGAGCTGAGGAGCCCAGAACTGAGCACAGGATTCAAGGTGTGGCCTCACCAGCTCTGAGTCCAGAGCTTTGAGCAACTCTGAGCTTTGTCCTTTCATTCTTCCTCCCCTCATTTGCCTTCATGATCTGCTCCTTGCAAAGTCTCTGCTGGGTTTGACTCCTTCAGCCAGGGAGAGTCTGACCCAGTGGGCTGGGGACATCCACCTCCCACCCATCCACCCCCAGCTGCCAGCAGCACTGGGGAGGGAACTCTTCCAGCTCCAACCTGGCTCCTGCAGGACTTTTCCAGCCCTCTGTTAGAAATTAGAGCACTATTCTCTGTGCTTTGCTGCTCAGACAATGGCAGAATTCAATGCAAACGTTGATTTTGGATCTCCTCTCCAACTCTCCGGCTCGGAGTTGGCCTGAGAGTGAAGGCTGAGGCTGCTGAAGCCAAAGGCTACAGAGCTTCAGAAGGAGCTGGAGGCTGCAAAGCCCATCCAACACAGTGCCCACAGACATGTTGAAACCCCAACCTTTCCAGCTGCTGGAAAAACAAGGAATTGATGGAGAAAACATCTCCATGTCACGTAGTAGAGGTCATGCCTCATCAGGCTCTCTCGTGCAGCACATGAGGCTCTCAAACCTTCCCTTCCAGCAAGCACAAAGAAACCACAGAGGAGAGGAAAGGAACCCTCCAAACCACACCAAAATCCATGGAAATGAGCTTTTAATGGAGCCAAACAATGAGCTCTTCTGTAGACATTTTGTAAGGAGAGGGAAAAGGCACTAGGAAAATGGCTATCGTGTTCCTTCCTTGGAACTCATGGAAAAGGAGAGATCCTCCCAGTGCAGGAACATGAATGAGAGGGAAAATAGAGCCTTGTCTTCGGCAGGAAATTGGGAATTTTGGGCCCTGGAGGGATATAAGGAGCATCTAATATAGGCTAATAGAGCAAAAAGAGGTGAGATTTGTCAGGACATGATTTGTCCTGGGAGGAAAGGGAACCTCCAAAGCACACCAAAATCCATGGAAATGAGCTTTGAATGGAGCCAAACAATGAGCTCTTCTGTAGAGAGAAGATGGAAAAGGCACTAGGAAAATATCTATTGTGTTCCTTCCTTGGAACTCATGGAAAAGGAGAGATCCTTCTAGTGCAGGAACACGAATGAGAGGGAAAATAGAGCCTTGTCTTCGGCAGGAAATTGGGAATTTTGGGCCCTGGAGGGACATGAGGAGTATCTAAAATAGGCTAATAGAGCAAAACTAGGTGAGATTTGTCACGTCAGAATTTGTTCTCCCTTAGCTGAACCTCCTAGAGGTGCCAGAAATGGTCCAAAAGCATCTCCCCTGGATGGATTTGAACAGAGCTTTTTGCACACAGCTTGTGCCTTTCATTCCCTTTCCTGAGGTTTCTCCATGTAATTTTTTTTTGGCATCTGTTATCACCATGGAACAATTCTGGATGCAACACACATTCCTTTTGGGGCACTGGAAGCATCCCTGGGTGAGGCCCCTGGTGTTCCAGCACTGATAACAGAGCTGCTTTGGAATTTTGCTAACCAGCAGAGGAAAGGGCTGTTCAAACCTTCAATCCTTGGCAGAGAACCACTGGAATTGTGGCAGGAAAAGCTTTGTTCAGCCCTGATTCCAACCCTTAGCTCCACACCATGCACTTGTTGCCTTTGGTGTTGTTTTGAGGCTGATTTAAAGGTGTCCTGAGTGGATTCCCTGTGATCTAGTGATCAAGGGCTTTGCAGCAGGAGGATGTGTCTGAGCTCAGCTCTGATGTTTCCTCTCTCTGTTTGGCACCACAAGTGCTTTGCTGTGTCCTCCTCACCCAGCAGCATCCACAAAGCAGCTGGAAACAACCCTGAGCCTCTCCCCAGGCTCACTCACTTCCCATTCCCTACAAACCTCACCAGATCCTGCTTTGTGCCATTTTTCTCCCCTCAACCAGGGACAGAAGCTGTAAATTCAGCCCTCAACAGGCAATATCTGCTCTCCTCACTCATCTCTTTGCACAGACTCAATAGAAATATCCTTTTTGGTGCTTGCAAAAGCTGAGTTGCTCCTCAAGGGTTGGTTTGAGGAGCAGCTTGTCCCCTCTCCAACTTCAATCCACCCTCCTCACTGCTGTGGAGGTTCACAGACTCCTCATATCCTTCAGGAACAGGGAATTCTGTGCCAGCAACATCTCATTATGCAGCACAGAGTCCCAAGCTCAGGAACTCCTGAGCCCTGGAGCTCCCTCAGAATACAATGAACAAAGGAACAGCTCGAGCCACTGGGTGAAAGTGGCACATTCACTAGGGATGAGCTGCAGGAATAAGGCTGGAAAGGAGGATATTTAGGTCCAACTCCAACCCTGAACTTGGAGGATATTTAGGTTCAAATTTTAGGTCCAAATCCAGCCCTGAAATTAGAGTGAGGATATTTAGCTCTAACTCCAAACCTGAACTTGGATATTTAGGTCCAAATCTAACCCTGAACTTGGATATTTAGGTCCAACTCCAACTCTGAACTTAGAGGATATTTAGGTCCAAAGCCAACCCTTAATTTGGAGGATATTTAGGTCCAAATCCAACCCTGAACCTGGATATAGAGGTCCAAATCTACCCCTGAATTTGGAGGATATTTAGGT